GAGAGAGAGAGAGAGAGAGAGAGAGAGAGAGAGAGAGAGAGAGAGAGAGAAATTTATATATAATTTATATATAATCTTATATATAATTTTATATAATTACATACAATAATCATTTTTTACTAAGATTTTTAAAGCCATTTTTGTAAAAACAGTTATGAGAAAAGATTATGAATTATAAAAAAGATATAGAATGTATATAAAGATATATACATCCTTGCTTTCATTCAGAAGTTACTTTTCGCACGAAAACAATAGTTTTTCAAATATATTATCCAATTAACGACTTTTGTGATTAACATAAATTTATTATTACTTAATCTTGATTATAGATGAATTCCAGTGAATTTTTAATCTCAAAGCAGTATAGTATAGGTAGTATTAACGCAGACGTCCATTTCTGAGTTGAAATTTTAGTCTTATTTTGGACCTAAACTTTTTAACATTTGTATATCATGAAGGATCAGTGTATGCTTAATACACATAAAAACTAGTTCTATTTATTGTCTCTAAATGGCAAAAATATACAAAATACTATTTGTAGGTTCTAAAGAGAGAGATGACCTCTTGATAAAGCTGATAGCAAGCTAGTTAAATAAAATCAACAAAGTTAATATAAGTCTTCAGAATATCAAAGTAAGCGTTAAATGGAATATTGAGTTTGAAAGTAGAATCAAAATTTCGACTCAAGTTAGATTAAAATAAATATTTCGATATTTTATAAATTTTCAGCAAAGTAGATCAAATTATTAAAACATTGTCATAGATGATTTAATAAAAATAACTCTTTATTCCATCTTTTTAAGTTTTTTACAGATAAAGATAACATATCATTTTACTATCTGAATGAAAATGACCCAGAAATTTTATCTAGATGATCATTTATATAATTTCGTTTAGACAAGAACCAACACTGGACATTGTGTAGTGAATTGCAAAACGGTTTAGATACAATAAAGTTGGGAACGCTCTCTCTCCAAAGTGTCAAAGTTGAGAGTCAATCCAGTATGTGTGTGTGTGTGTGTGTGTGTGTGTGTGTGTGTAACGGGTTACCCAGTAATTATATTATTAATTATTATTAGTATTATTATTTAGCGTTTTTAATTGTATTATCAAGTACGTTATTATTGCGTTAAGTCCATCGGCGAAGGCCCGTCCCAATTTTGACAGTTTAGTGAGTTTCAAATCCATTTAACTAAGTTATTTTGTAATCCATTATACACAGTTACACATACTTTGTATACCCACATATTGTGATTACGACATTAAATTTAACTTATAAAATAGTTAGACAACTAAACCTACACAAGCAGATTTTGCATAGCGCCTGTGGTAAATTTTATCTGTAGATTTTGCTAATACAGAAATATAAGAGAATCTGCAGATGACAGATTGACGATAGCGACTAAAAGGGATCTGTTGCTCCATCACTATTTAAATGTATTTAAATGGAACATGCTGCAGACCTTGCTTGGTTTCTGTAGCCAATAAAATGTCAAATTATTCCAGCGGGCTCTGTCGACAGAGCACGAGTTTAATGCAGACACAGACGGCTATATTGAAAAAAATATTTTATAATAGTTAACATGCAACTAATGCACTTGTCGAGCGTTTCAGTGCAATTTTTGGCAATTCGTATCAAATAAAAGTACAAATTTGTTTGGTAATAATTACAAAATAATTAGTAAAGCATTTTTATACAGTTAAAATCATCAAATGTAATGTGGTAATTAAAATACCAAATAATTTGGTAATAATTACAAATAATTACAAATAGTTTGACAATTATTCAAGTATTTGGCCATTTCGTATATTTGTCACATAATGTATAAATATTACTAAACAATATGGCTTTATTTAACACATTATTAGGTGATACATATTATATAAATTAGTAATAGCTACCAACAGATGGCAACAGATATCAAGCCTTTCTAAAGTTATTTGACTATATATTCCTATATCTTAGCGTTTAGATGAGACTATATTATCGAATTATTTGGTAGCTATTATTCAGGTTTGAAGATTGTTATTAAGTCTTTTTTCAATGATTGGATCTGCCATGATATTCTGAATAAATCTGATATCGAATATTAAAACGAACTATTGATATCAATGTAAGCAGTTAAAACATCATAGTTTTAAAACAAAATTGTTAGATATTAAATTTACATTATATTAAATTAATACATTATAACATTAGTTAGAATATTTTTAATTTTTAATAAAATAACACATCAGATAGAATATTAAATTTAAATTAGTTAGAAGTTAATTATAATTTAAATTCTTTTATTATAAATTATAAAAAAAATAATTAGGAATTTATGTGTAAGTCTCAATTATCAGTCTCAATATAGACCAGCAAATATTGCGCGCCCTTATAACGAGTTATATGATATTTAATTTTAATAATGTCCATATTCACATTGTGCGTGCATGTGTGTGTGTGTGTGTGTGTGTGTGTATGTGCACGCGCGCGTGCGTGTTTAATCTGTATAGAATAATGGTATATGTACAATTTCATAAATCTAAAAAGTTGGTAAAGCAATTTGATATATATATATATCTTAGATTTTTTTTTAATATTAAAAATACTTGTGAATATATAATATAATAATAATAGGACTAAGGAATATATAAAACAAATATTTTCCCGTGCTTTCCTTACAATGTATACTTTTTTAATGCATTAATAAAATGTAACCCGAAACTGAGACTCGATTCATTATTAGATTGCGTTATTTTTCAAGCGCTCTTTTTAGTATTGCGCAAAGTATTGTTAAGGATTCTTAGCGCAGAATAGAAAATCATGATAACATGTTAAAATGACGAGAAAATGATCGAATTGTGATTGAAAAGTGAGTTTCTTTAGTCATTATTTCGTAGAGACGTGTGAACTATTTTATTTCGAATCGAATCAAGTAAAATTCAATTTGATTCGAATTTGAATCCCTATAATTCGAATCCGAATAATTCGAAAATTTCGAATCAAAAAGATTCGAATACGAATCGTGCACATACGCTGACTGCATCTTACATGTGATACCTCAGAGAATGTGAGACAAATTATATTTTGTCACGACAATTTGTCAGCTATCGACCATCCGTGCTTTGGAGAGAAATTAACGGCATCTCAATTGGACATGGAATCCCAAAAAAGGAATACTCTGAGTTAATCAAAAACTTTTTCAGTTTAAGAGTTTTGATTATTTTTTTATTTTAAATTTTATTTAAGATTATATATATATATATATATATATATATATATATATATATATATATATATATGTGTGTGTGTGTGTGTGTGTGTGTGTGTGTGTGTGTGTGTGTTACGTACTAATTATGCGTATTGTTGATATACTGCTGACAAGAACTTTTTGTCTGGATAACTGATGGTTGCGCGGCGCTTGTGTTCCGATGTATGATTCGGCATGATGTCCTGTTATGACGTAACCGCAGCCGAAGATGAAATATTCTCATTACTTCTGGATGAACAAGTCTCGCCTCCGGTCAGCCTGCCGGCCAAGGCGACCCTAGTGTACGCTGTGTCGCGGCTACGAGGTTCGGGGCTGGCGCGCAGCCAGGACGAAGCGAGGAGGTTGCGTGAGGCGTGGACTACCGGCTATAAGAGGGACGCCGTGCGTCGCGACGCCACCAGAACACCTCCCGTGCTCGGCCGAGGCTCGTAAAGCCCTGACAATTTCTCGCGCGACACACTGCGATCCTCGTTGTAGCCGTAGATCGAAGGACTAGAAGAGGCAACATCGATCGATCTCTCTGTACCGGAATTTTTCGGCTCACAGTTCGCGCGCCGATCGTTTTTCTCTTCCTTGCCGGTCCCGTGAGTTTCCCCCGGCGGTTTTCCGGCTGACTCGACCGCGCGGCGGCTCTCGAGAAGATGTTCTCCAAGTCGATTTCAACGTCGATCCTCCTGCTTGTCGTCGCCGGCGCGTTTCACGCTGCGAGAGCGGTGATCAACAACGACCGCCACCGTCAGCAACAGGTAAATGTACCGTGAAAATGTGTACTCTCGGGAAGCACGATCGGTATGTGGTGTTTTGTATTTCTAGAGAGATCATAAAAATATAGACTTGAATTTACGTTCAATTATAGACTTTACGTTTTGATATATAAAAAGATATTAGAATATAAAAGAATATTTAGGTTGAAAAGACATTGAGAGAAACATGTAATAAATTATAGAGAGGGAGAGTGAGAAAGATTTTATATTTTAGAGTAAGACAAGATAGAAAAAATATGTAGAATAAAAGGACATTGCGAGACACATGTAACAAGCTACCAAATTTTCCAATATGATGTAAAAGAACACTAGAATAAAAAAAATGTAGAATAGAAAAAATGTAGAAAAACTAGAATAAAATGAATAAAAATATATTATGAGACACACGTGATGAATTAAAAAGAAAAAGAGGAAGGTTTTATATTTTGAAATAAAAAAACATTAAAATAAAAATTTAGAATGTGAGGATATTATGAGACAGACGTAGCGAATTAAAAAGAAAAAAATAAAGATTTTACATCTTGAAATAAGACAACAAAAGAAAAAAATATGTAGAATAAAAAAATATGAGATGCGCATGTAACGAATTAAAAATAGAAAAAGGAAGATTTTATATTTTAAAATAAGAGAACACACACATTGGAATAAAAAAATATGTAGAATGAAAGTATATTGTGATCATACGTAATAAATTACAGAGTCTATAATTTAAAATAAAAGAACATTAGAATAAAAAAAATGTTATATTTAATAGAATATTAGATTCGTACGTAACGAATTATAAATAGAAAGAGAAAGATTATATATATATATATATATATATATATATATATATATATATATATATATAT